AACTAGTTGCACTGAACTAACAAAATATGGGTTATCCTTTCCTTAGATCTGTAAACTAGTTGCACTGAACTAACAAAATATGGGTTATCCTTTCCTTAGATGTGTAAACTAGTTGCACTAAACTAATAAAATATGGGTTATCCTTTCCTTATATTTGTAAGTTACTTGTACTAAACTAACAAAATATGGGTTATCCTTTCCTTAGATGTGTAAACTAGTTGCACTAAACTAATAAAATATGGGTTATCCTTTCCTTATATTTGTAAGTTACTTGTACTAAACTAACAAAATATGGGTTATCCTATCCCTAGATCTATGAGTTAGTTCCAGTTTTTAAAATGTTGTTAGCACTCCATCGTGCAGCTGTAGTCTGATTGTTTTCATGACATATGTTCATTTGTTTTTAACACAACAGTTCCATTGACCTCACTATAACAAAACTATAATTTTTTAACCCACGCATAATTATTGAATCATTATAAACTAGTGGTCTAGTTAATTCCACAATAAATCTATGCTTAATTTTTGGAACAAAAATGTATACTTTACTTTCAATAAACAAATTATTCAACATTACAACAATTTTTTTATAGAAATACTGCACTTCTCGAAAAACTTTAAATTTGATATAAAGTGGCATTTAAAAAGTAGAGGAAAAAACTTTTATATTCAAGCAATGTAAGGAGACAGTAACATAAACATTAAAACCAGGAATGAATTTATATACTGATTATGGTATAAGCTGCACAGGGAAAGAAGTATATATAACTTCAGCCTGAAGAAGTTGTTATTATAGAAGCAGAAAGTAGTTGAAGTGAGAGAGAGAGATACGCTAGGAATTTAGCACACATGTTCTTCAAATTCTGCAACAAAAACACTAGCACAGAGCTCTACCAAACACAAAAAACACCTTGAAAGATTCTTCAAGTGTAGAGAGGTAAGGCATAGAAAATGCATTCAAGCACAGCACAGAACACAAACATGATGTAAGGAAAAAGGGTCACCACTACTATTTAGTGGGTTACCTTGAAAAGCTGTACTCCAATCACAGCAAACATGAACTGAAGAAGATAAGTCACCAACATGATGTTGCATATTGTTTTGACAGCAACAATGATGCACTTCACTACATACTAGAGATAAAATAAGAAACAATTAATAAGTCAGAAAAATTTGATAAATTAGCTGTAAGGAAGAAAATGTGTTAAAGAGAGCCTGTTCCCATGGTCTTGGCACATTTATAAAGTAAAATATAAATAGGCTTTTTCATTGCCATTTTTTTTTCCTGCAGGCTTTCTTTAACTTTCTGGTTAACTCATCAGCCACAATTTTGGCTACATCATACACTGAAGGCAGTAGCAGCCTACCTGAAAAACTTGTACTCCAATGACAGCAAATATGAAGTTTAGAAGAAAGGTCACCAACATGAGGTTGCCTATAGTTTTTACTGCTACTATGACGCACTGGACAACATGCTAAACAATATAAACAAAAAATACAACACACCATTTAATATCACAAACCAAGAAAAGAGAAACAAAAAAGAAATATCACAACTACAACAAACAGAAGCTCCACATTAACCTGTAGATAAAATTATAGTAAAAGGTAGGCCAAACTCAAAATGTTTTAACTTTTCTACTTAACACAGCCAATAGTCATAGCAGAAAATAAAGTTTTCAGTAGGGTAATGAACTTAGCTGTTTTATCTTTATTTCTATCTCTCATTGCAAAAATTTGTCACACAACTGCTACAACACAATGTTGCATATACAACTACAAATCAGCAAATAAATCAAGTGACTTTTGTTACATCAAAAGGCCACATCGAGGTACGTACACAAACATACTTTTAATTTATCTGTTAAAAGAAAATATAGTAACTTTGCAACTTTTCAGTAATTGGAACACATTAAAAAACACTTAAGTGATCATAACAACAAATCAGTGCTTATAAAATATACTACTGTTTACATAAATACATCTTCAGCACTGTACAACATGTACTACACCTCTCACTAATACTTCATCTAAAACCTTTACATTAGAAAGTTAGTGTATAATCAAAAAAAGAAATTGGCAAATCACATTAACAATTCCAATAAAATCCTACTGCTTTCATCAGGTGGGCCTGTATTCATCATAGGCAAAATCAGAATGATGCAATGAAATGTAAATTGTGCACACAAGATGAAAAATAGAAAATAATTCTGATTGGAAGAGAGTTTTTCACTTTATATCCTCACATTACCCTCCATTACATCATTCCATTTTTGCCCTTTAGGCCCACATTTCAAAAGGGTTTGATATATTTGTTTTAATGTAAGTTATAACAGAATGACACTTTGGGAAAATTTTATAGAATCCTGTATAAAGATTACATTCTTAAGTACATTTGTGAGAATGAATATGCATTAATGCAAAAATGCCACAAAAAAAAAGAGATCAAACTTTGTTAACATGACAAAACAGCTTGAAATAATAAGAAAGTATCTAGTTTCATCAAAATTAAAAGCAAAATACTTCATATCTGTCAGAAACAAAAACTAATACTAGACTAAGTATACACGCATTTTAACATATTACAAAACTGAAACATTAAGTAAGACCATTGATATATTTTATGAAAACAATATTTTATTAATTACTTGACTGCTAAATACTGTATTAAATACACAATTATTATCAAAAGAATTATCCAAACCATGAGAGTGGAAGAAACAAATATTCTAATTGAAATAAAAAGTTTAGAGACCAAGACACTGTTAGTGTCATCATAGTTTAGAGACCTAGACACTGTTAATGTCATCAGGGCTTGGAGATTTAGACATTGTTAATGTCATCATAGTTTGGAGATCTAGCCACTGTTAGCATTATAATCGTTTGGAGATCTAGACTCTGTTAATGTCATCATAGTTTGAAGACCTAGAAACTGTTAATGTCATCATGATTCGGAGATCTAGGTACTGTTAACATCATAATAGTTTGTAGACCTAGAAAGTGTTAATATCATTGTGGTATGGAGATCTAGACTCTGTTAATGTTATCATTGTTTGGAGACCTAGACATTGGTAACATCATCATTGTTTTGAGACCTAGACTCTGTTAATGTCATCGTTGTTTGGAGACCTAGACACTGGTAACATCATCATGGTTTGGAGACCTAGACTCTGTTAATGTCATCGTTGTTTGGATACCTAGACACTGTTAATGTTATCATTAAGAATGTTAACGTTATCATCAAGAACATTTTCCATTAAAATCATTGGAGGACTAAATACCTGACTGAAAATTACAAGTTTTTCTACACATTTACGCATTTTACTGGTCCTTCGGGGCAGAGAGGTAAATACAAGGTAGAGATATGAAAGGTTATGGCTTTCTCATTAAAATGTCATTATTATAAAAGTTCATTACTGTTGTCATTTATTATATAATGACAGTGTTCTCTGGACATTTTACTAATGGTAACTAACCACTAAACAACATATAACACAAGCTGCACATCACACAGTAAATAACTGACTCTGATGTACAAGTGAAATACTGTTTGGTTACAATCAGTAACTTTCAATCCACCTACCACCATGAAGTTACCAATGTATGAACAAGTTACAATCATTATTCTTAAAGATACATTTATTTCTTGACTTTTATTCTCATAGGATTTATGATGATTTGGTGACTACTGGAAAAACTTAAACTGATTCAAAGCCTGCTTTAAACAATGAAATGAAATAAAAGAATCCTTCTAATTTGTGGATATGTGTTTAACTATTTTGTTTTTATGGTACCGTGTATGTACAAAAAAGTCTCATTATTTCACAAACTAAAATAGTAACAACTTATCATTGCATATTTCTTTCTAGTCAATAAACAACAACTAGAAACAGTGTGTGCACCACTTTGTTGCACATAGAAACACTATAACTTAGTGCAATAATGCTATACATCCATGGTGTCACTAAATGTGGCTAGTTCTGTAGTTTCAAAAAATTTCTTATGAGTAGGGATTTGACTTGAATGGATTACTTCTGCCTGTTTCTAGAGCAGTTCATTAGCAGCAAAATTATGCTATGCCTACACTGCTGAAAAATACTATTGAAATTACTTCTTAAAAGTAACTAGACTGCAAAAGCTTGGAATAAAACACACATACATATACTTCTTCAGCAAGCTATGGAAGTAGCTAAATCTTTTCCAACATCAAATAAGGGACTGATTGTAAAATATGTACATAAGTCTACAAGTTCAACAACAGATGTGGTTATTTTCTCTCTTGCCGAGCGCTATGTTTTACTACCACTGGAATAATAAATTATTTACTGCTCATAGTGTTAGTAAAACATGTAGGTTTAGAAAATTAATATAACACAAAATTACAAAATCCTATAACCTGATTGTTTTCAAAAGGTGGACCTTTCTTCATCAGGGATAAAATGGAAATGATCAAGAGAAACTAAGTGTAAGAAAAGGTGGAATGATGTCACAGCACATCACCATAACAACCTGGAAGTATTTTAAACAGCTTTCAATTATTGTTGTAAGTGTGACTCATTTCCAGTGAGCAATACAACAGGAGATATAAAGACGTTATACATATTTTGTTTTTAAAAAGGAAAAAAATGTTAAGGGAAACTATATTGAGTAGTGATAAAGTAAAATAAAGATTGATTAAAAAGAGAATGTTAAGCAGACAGAACTAAAAAGATAAAAAATAAATGTGGAAAATTATCATAGATTATCAGTATTTAAAGTGGCAATCCAATAGGCTTCTATTTTGCTCTATCACCTTTAGTTTTGAAACCAGTTTCAGTGCCGATGAGAATCACGTCATTAAGAAAATAACCAAGATGGTTGAAATGCTGGGCAACAGGAAGATCTTTTTTTGGTGTTTTTGAAATGCTCTCTAAGATCATTTGGGTCTGACCTACATACTGCTGACTGATTTTTTATACTATATGAGGTAAGTGTTGTTGTGCAAGTAATGTTTTTTAGTAATTTTAAAGTCTTTTTGGTCATACTGTTGTAAAAAGAGTCAGTAGTTTTTATGAACTTGCAGGTTACACAACAAACTTTATTACATGGATGACAACCATTTTGTGGTGGGGTGTAATATGCATGAACAAAGATATCTTTATGACTTCTGCTCTTCCAGAAGAAGATGACAAGAACTTCAGGTATGGTTTGTCTAAGGTGATCATTCAGTTGTAATAGATGAAATATCTTTTTCCAAAATACATGAAAAGTTTCTGAATTTAAAGTCATGGATAATAACAAGAGGAATCCTCTTTGACTCTTTAGTGTTAAAGTGTTTAAGGACTGTTTATTGCTGAGTATTATTAGCTTATTCAATCTGTATGTTAGTTTCTGTATCTTTATAGCCTCATTGTAACATGATTTGTTTCAGATCCTTGGTATATTTTCTGTAATTTGTTTCATCATAACAAATTGTTTTCATTGAGAGAGCTTAACATCAGTGTGTAGTGTGTAAAATTTCATCATAACAAATTGTTTTCATTGAGAGAGCTTAACATCAGTGTGTAGTGTGTAAAATTTCATCATAACAAATTGTTTTCATTGAGAGAGCTTAACATCAGTGTGTAGTGTGTAAAATTTCATCATAACAATT